TCAAAACGATTCTTTGTGGTCTGTCTGCCCGTGGGAAGGAAACCTGCATGTTTTCATGTTCCCGTGTGTTGGTGCTTTCCATAGCACAGTATCTCTCTCTCGCATTCTGTGTCTTGTTTCCTTCAACCCTGTTCTCCTCCTGTCGTGGTCGTATCTCCGATCATGGCTGTAATCATGTATCTTTTGTTTTACTCAAAACAACGGTACTCTATCAAGGTCATACTGCTCTCAATTTCCACGGACGAGGGCGGTTCCTCTAACCTGCGGGGTTCGTATTGACGCTGTCATTCCAAGTAGACATTCGGTGGCGTGTGGGTATCCAGTTTGTTGCTGTTGGTTGAACCCCCGTCCTGATCTTAAACGATTTGCACAAATACTGTGTCAGATGGCACGGAAAGTAATTAGCTAGGATTGGTTTCTGATCCCGTATTCAAAATCACATTTCGGCGTTGAACTGTCCGTTTCAAATGGACTGCACAAATAACGGTAGCAGTAAGTCGGAATGCATTGTGAATCAACAGAACACAGTCGGGAACTGAGAAGTACTTCATGAATTTTGATCTATTCTGATTGCCATCATCAAAGCAGTTGAAGATTAAATCCTCATCGCAGCGGAAGTGGCTTCGCCAATGTGAAACTGGTTTTAGGACACCTAACTTTTTTCGTACGCCATGTCGCAAAACCCGTCGTCGTGGGTCATGCCTCTTATTCAGCTTAGGACTGGTTTCTAGGATAATCATGGAGCCACATTCTGAATGATTCCAGAATGCACACTACTCAAAGTGGTATTCGTCGAGTCGGGAGCAGACATCCAGGTCATTGCAATTTATTTTTCTGAGGCATCGAGGAAATTTTTCGGTTGCTTGTCGCCACTTATACTACTATCAGTAGTATCACCGGACTCTGAATGCTCATCATCTATGTATGCTTCGATCAAGTCCTTAACGGTTTTCCTCAATTTAATCTCAATATCATCCATGTTCTGTTGCTCACTTTACGCCCCTCTTTGCAACCGCTGATTTCTGTCCATTGAACACGATCAGGCTTCAGTGCTCACTCGCTGCTGATAGTTCTCGTAATGCGCAATAGCGATCAACGGAGTTCGCGTTACTGTATCACCTTGTATGACGACGATGATGATGTTCTCGTAATCAGTGTGTGTCAGTTGTGACACCAGGATGTTGTTGTTCCTCCCTGGGGATCTTTTTTTCAAACTGGATACATCTCTTGTTCAGTGCCGGTCTCGAGATCGAACAGTGACGGGAAACGTTTTCACTGTTTCTGCTTGATCAGTGTTCTTTCGGATGAGGTGCGTTGAGCATATGATTCTGACTGCCTGGGGGAGAGGGTAGTGGTCCTTATGACGGGGTACCGAGTTCTGCTAAAAACTTCGGACCAAATTGACCCAGTTTAGCTCTGAGTGCTCTCTGAAACCAGATTAAATCCGAAACTTCTTTAGTTTACCTGTGGCTGTAATTCTCCTATTTAATTGAGCACACGATCTAAATCGTTGTGTTCCCTAATGGAAAATATATTTGGCTGATGGGGAATTTGTCATGCTCGTGGCAGTGGGTGAATAACCAGTGGGCAGTGAGATAGGAAAATAAGAACGAGGAGATAAAGAGTGACGACAATTTAATCCGAACCAATATGACTGAAGAGGAAATGTGCTGACTGCTTAGGACTTTCGACCACATTGCTCGTGTTTTGAGCGAATTTTTCATCGCTGGTCACATGATGATCCTGGTTCATCAGTGGCATCTCGATCGACCCAATTTTTAGGTATTCGATCGCGCCTTGGTAGATCCAACCATCACCCTGTTTCATTGTGTCCATTTCTTTCCTGTGAGTCTCTTGTGAACCAAAACTTGATTTCGGGAAGTAGTATGAGATCTGTCACTATTTATATATAACACTTGTGAGAATAAACTGTGTTCAAATAAATCACGGTACAATAGTTTTTATAAAAAAAAGAATCTTTCCATGATTTGCATGTGGGCCCAATACTGCTAGGTTGCCCCGGCCAACGCAGAAATCCCAAACCGGAGTCTTCGGCTAGTCAAAAGTTTGACCCGCAAGGCAGCCGGGTGGGTGGGGGGGGGGTTACAAAGCTCTTTCCATTGCAGGTCGGTGTCCCGTTCATCGGATCATACCCCCTTTGAACGGCTTCAAACGTCGGTAGCCGTTGCCACAATCGGGAAGGTGTGTGTGGTTGGTTGGTTTGGAATCAGGTTTTTGGTGAACTGCCAATGCTGGTTCATCGACCCGGATGCGAGCTTTTCACTTTGATGGGAAAACATCGTCATTGAAAGATGGTGACCGGGGCTTCCTGGACGGAGGCTTTTCGAGGCGCTCATTCGTATGGGAGTATTTCGTGAGGTGCAAAGAAAGTGTGACCAATCGCAACCCTAGACACTCACCCCGACCATGCTGAGACTTTCGGAGACACCTGCCATCGTCTGTCCAAAGATATCAGATCGGCAGTGGAATGTAGATTGCTGACAGTACACTGATTGAGCAATTGCTGTACAAACCGGTGTTTGTTGAAACTGTGAACTCCTTTTGAAGCAAGACCTTTTGACACTTGATCAAGCATCGGTTCCACTTGAGCTGGACGCTGAAGGGCTGTTTGAAATTTGGTCGGACAACAGTTCATCTCAGCTTGCATAGGACGACGCCAATCGTTCATTCGAGCATCGGTTGATTTATCGGCACTAGGTTTGATTCTGAAAGGCAGTATGTGNNNNCAGCCTCAGACTGCCCTCTGGTGCTATTCTTGGGGAAGTAGTGGTAATTTGTCCTGTAACTCTCTCCCTGACTGACCGTTTATAATCTTGAAAAGTTCGATTAGGTGCTCTTGACTTTCCCGTTTTCCAACATGAACGGATTGAGGTCTTCAAGTATCCGCTGCTCATTAGTTTTACCTCTGCCCCACCATTCTAGTGGCGATTTCTTGCATCTTCTCAAGCCATTCATCGTCTTTTCTGATGTAATGTGCCCATGCCTAGGTGTGGCCTAACGATAACTGTATACAAAGGGAAGAGAACCTCTTGTTTCCTACATGTAATCGTGGAGCATGACCTAAAGAGTTTCTTTCGAGCTATTTTAGTCCCCTCGTAACCACGCAGGATTTACCTCAGTGCTCGATTCTTAAAGGCTCGTCTTCCAGTAACATGTTCTCGCCCAAATGGGAACTTCACAGGTAGTGAACTAAAACACAGCTGGAAGCGTGTGGCAATTTGTTTATTATGCAAAAGTTATGGCTATTTATAGTTACGAGAGGGGACATGGGAATACATATACCAAACGATTGGTTGACTGGATTGTTGTCAATTGTTATGATTGGTTGGTGGTTCCGACCAGTCACCGGAGTTTCGGCTATCCTTGTTCTCATTATTTGTTCCAGAATAAAGCAGTTTTTCGGGGGGNGGGGGGGGGGGGGATGCTAACCCTCTGACATTATCGTGACAGTTATGTCATGTGTTGCGACAGCTTATTACTGGGAAATATTTACAATCGGTTGCTTTCTCTGCCCTATAGGGTTTGACACAAA